TTTATACAGACAGTATTGTTCTTCTTGTCTTGAAATAGAAACTCATCTGTCATTGGGTTTAATGTCAGTTTTAAGTTTCCTTCTTTCAATGACTCAGATATCTTAGAATAGTTTGAAAAGTTTGTTGTGTTCTTATTTAGAGCTTGCACAATGAGTTGTCGGTTGTGTTGTATTTCTCTTATGGAAGCAATATCTTTCGACATTTTTATTCTAGATAAAATATGCTTTCAATAGAAAAAGAAAATTCAAGAGTTGCTACAACTAAACCATTAGATGAACTTTTTACTAATGTCGGTCAAAAGTTTGAGACAGAGACCGTAAAGCATGAAGGCTATCGTTTTGACTACCCATTAAGATGGCTAAGAGACCCATCTGTCACAAAAGCTATTGGCTTTCGTAGAATGAAGTTCATTTCAGAAGCCATACATGGTTTCCCATTTACGGTCGGTTTTGAAGTTCGATACTATAACAAAGAAAAACATATGTATGAGAAATTTGAACAGGGAAAACTTTTACAAGTTAGTTTGCTTGTAAACTTAGAAACAACTCTTCAAGCTTTTCAAGAAAAATAAACGATATCTATATCGAATATGCAAACCAGTATAACATTGACGAGGGAGAGTACCATCTCGATATTATTTATGACAGGAAAAATGCAACTGTTAAAATCAATAGAATAGAAGACCTTGGAGAAAACGTTTATATTTCTACAAAATATAACAACTTGGCATGGTATAGATTTATGAGGATGTTAAATCAGCCTGCAGCATATCCAGTACACCCAGACTTTTATGAAGTCGAAAACCCTAATGGAACATATGAAAATGTTTTCGACCAAGATGCTATTATTGTTCATGCTTCATTTTCTGGCGCCCAAAACTCTTTCTTATGCTTGGCAAATGACTTTTACGAAAAACCTACAAAGTTATACGAACCACCAAGTGGAAGTATTTCAGACTTTCAAGTATGGTTTACTACAGATGGAAGAAAAAGAATAATTCCATTATACCATGCGTTTTACTTAGAACTTAGTTTCATATACAACTACTATCGAACGGTAAAAATATAATTTTTTAATACGGTTGAGGTGTTGGATTTGGTTGCCAACTAGACTGTGGTGCAGGTTCAGGCTGTTGTATAACAGGAGCTTGTTCTTCTGGTTCAGGGTCTTTAGGTATAATACCAACAAACTGACCTACTCTTTTACCAATATTTTTGACTCCGTTCCAAATTCCTCTTCCTACGGTTTTTATTCCATTCCATATACCTCTTCCAACATTTCGAAAGAAGTTTCCTATCTTACTGAAGAAACCTATTTTACTATATGTAAAAATCTAATGTCCGCCTAGTCTCTTACGTTTCCTGTTGAGTTCCATAGCATTCTTTAACTGCAGCTCATACATTCTGTTTCTCCTCTGGTAGAAAACATATTCTGGGTCAACTCCTGTGTTCGCGTCATCTGCATAAAGTTGTTTATATCCCACTTCAGGGTTTATATAAAACTCTTTCCATCTCATATTTGCATACCATGGTGGCAAACCTAACGCAGCGTCATTTGACATGGCAGTTTGCATTTGTACATCTGTTGGCACTTGACCATAGTTTGCCATTGCAGTTTGTATTCTAACTTCATTTGGAATATTCTCTGTGTTTGGTTGTCCAGGTTGCTGTGCATTCGCTAAGTTCTGTGCGTCCATTTAATATTAGATAAAAATATCTCTTACGAGTACATATACTGAACATTTGCAGGCATTGGTTCATCTTCATATTCTCTGTACTTTTCTGCCACGTCAAATAAATAAATGACACAATGGAAAAAACCTAAAACAAGTAGTCCTATTTCAAACCACATTTACTTACTAATAAAATTTCTTTGTTATGACACTTTCTCCGGTTTATAGGACCTCTCTCATATTCTATCTTGTCATATATAAACTCATAGTCATGTATGTCCTCTAACCATCTCATAACGGTTTCCAAACCACTTTTATCGGATGTAAAGTAAAAGCATGGATGGTTATGTAAAACGTCTAAAGTTTCTAAAGAGCCTCTCAAAGTCCAGTCTACTTGGTATTGAAAATCCCATGTGTTATAGAACGGCGGGTCCACTATAAAGAAAACATTTTCCTTGTCTTTATATTTTTCATACAACTCTGTCCAATAACATCTCACAAACTCTATACCCTCAATATATTTTTCTATGTCCTCTTTGAAAACATTTGTATAGTTAAGATATAAAACTTTTGACATAAGTGTTTCAATGTCATGAACTCTTATAGAACCACTATATAATAGTCTAGCAGATATACTATCCCAGTCTATATATTCTGCTTTTTTCAAAACCTCTCTCACAATATTTTTCTTATCTAATGGTATACGTTCCATCTTACCTATAGGTATCTTTTCTTTTAACTCTTTCAATATATTGTTTGTGTCTGGAATATGTTTGAGACGGTCCATATAGTTGTCGAAGTCATTGCATATAATCTTTGAGTCTGGGAATATTGTATGGCACAAATGGGATATATAGAAACTTCCACCGAACAAATCTACAAATGTTAGACCATTCGGTAGTTTCTTAAGTTCTCTCAATATAATATCTTTACATTTACTCTTATTTCCAAAGAACGGTAACGGAGGTTTTGTAAAATTCATTTATATATAATAATAAAAATGTTTTTTCCTGAAAAGTGACAGAAAAGTAACAAAACATGAAAACATATATAATTTGTGAAAAGCGACACATTATATAATGTTTTCGACCCAGAAGAAGGCTTTCCGAATAAAAACTTCATTTATACTAAACTTTTTATGGGCTAGAGGGCACGAAGTGCCTGGAAGGCCATCCCAAGAGAAAAAAAACTTCATTATACTAAACATCTTCAGGGCTAGAGGGCGCAACGCGCCTGGAGGCCCCACTACCTTTTTTTTTAATCATTTACTCAAATATATCAAAAGTTTTATTTTTATATATAAAGATAACTACTTTTAAAAAAAAATACCCTATATATTTTTGCCATGTAAACTATTTTTGCCATGTAAACTTGTCACTTTTGTCAGAAGTGAAGTGAACCGAATTTTCATGCACAATAATTTTTTGCAATTCGATACCATGAAGATTCAATCGCAATAACACAAGATTTTGATTCCGAGTCAAGAATTAGAATACCACAATGGTGTATTTTGGAAGATCTATACTCTACAGTCTTAAAACGAAGCCTAATATTTCAATGTTGTATATGTTTTCAATTCGTTAAGGGTGCACACGAGAGGATCATGTAAACTTCAGAATTTAGAACCTTATTTTTTAGGCATTATCTTGGCTACCTATTTAGGCTCGAAAAGCAAAAAATATCAAAAAATACAACTTGAGTCCATTATGACCCTTTCATTGAGGTAGTTTTTATCCGCTAGTATTTTCCCTTTGAATCTCTTTACAATTCGAAATCAAATTCAAAACTCAGTAGAAGAAAGGAAGAATCGACTTACTACGGTTGTAATACGAATAAATACATATATTTAATTATTTTTATTTACATAATAATTGTTTGAAGCTCATATTCCAACAAATTTTTAAATAAAAACATTAAAATGTTGAAAATGTTCATATATTTTAATAGGGTTTTGGCACTTTATTGAGGAATTACTACATACATAGTCGAACTGAACTTGATATTTTGAAATTTAAATTATTTATCAAAATTAAAATTTAACTTGAAATTTATAATTATTTAGTCATATTTTGCATAATTCTAAGTAGATTTTGTAAAAAATCAAGAAAGAAAAATTTTAACGTGCTTTATTTTTTCTTTTTTATAATAATACATATTATTATATAATTAACATATTCATAATGTTTCACTCTTTCAAAAATATAATCCTCCTCCTCTCAAATAAACGTACATACGGGTGGCCTCTTTTTTCAAAAAATTAAAATTTGAAATTTTGGGCTCAAATATTAGAGATTTTTTCAACCTTCAACGATATATGTTGTCTATATCAGACCTCCTTTCTTTTTGATACTTAACATTGTTCCTAAATCTTAGCCGTTAAGGCTGTTCTGAAAATATTTTTTTTTCGAAAAAATTCGAAAAAAATTCTTAAAATTCAAAAATCCCTTAATTCCTGAGGATTTTGGAAAAAAGTTTTTACATGAACATGTGTATATTATATGAAGTATATTGATAAGGTAAAAATCAAATTTTATTGCATATTCATCGAGAAAATTAACTTATCGAATCCCTCAAAATTGAGAGGGTAATCCTCCTCCTCTCAAATAAACGTACAAACGGGTGCACCCTTAAGGAAATTAGAATGTATTATGGTGATATTCATGCATAATCTTAAATTATTTTTTCTGATTTCGGATTAATTCAAACAAATTCAAATTTTCATTTTCTGATAAAATGTAAAAAGTTGTAAATCAATATATAGATCTACTAAATATAATTAACGGATCTTTAATTTTTCCATTCAAAATGAAATTTAACAATTATTATCAAATTCAAGTCATCTACTAATATCAATATTAATTGTTCTACAATCAAAAATTTGATAGTAAAATGTTTTTCGGTTTCTTTGAATTACAAACGTTTAACCCTAACTATTCTATCTTTAGTATTATGCTTCCAGAGCAATATTAGCCAAATAAATAAAAAGTCTGTTATTTGAATTCAGAGCTCCTCAATCTAATTATATAATAATATTGCTATTCATTATATTCTGTATCAAATATGAACAATTCAATTTTCAACAAAAATTACTGTTAAATTAATTGTGAATTAACAATGCTGAATCCCTCTTCATCTATTCATCCGAGCACATCATTGGAAAGGGATTTGGAAACAAAAAATCTTCTTATTCAAGGTAAATACAGCCATTTCGATGTTCTTTTCCCTCTTTTTTACAACGCATTTCAAAGCAATTCGATTCCTTCTATTCTATACTATATTGCTGCAGGTTTTGGGGGATTACAGACGATATATTTATCATTGTGGCCAATGTCTTCGTTTTGGACAACACACAATAACGCAAATGTCGACAAAATACAGAAATGGGCAGATATAATTCTATTATTTATAAAGAAACCATATGATACAAAAGAAGCTTTTATTAAAGAAATGATTTTCTTTGCTCTTTGCATGATTTCAATTTCATTGATTGTCCTTCAATTGTTATATTACAAACTTCATCGTAGATTTATACGATTTTTATTAAGTCCGATACAAGGATATGATTTACTTGGCTCCTTGGGAATTTTATCTTCTTCGATGACAATTGGGGAAAATTTTAACAAAATAACACTTCACGAAACAGATGTTTATCTCGTAATATCTACCATTGTTGCTGTTTTCAACATAATTTATGAAATTTCATATCATACACTCTCTATGAAATTATATTCGAAAAATGTTGCCTTAACGAATGTTCCATTTCTGAATTTCGATCCATCAATCAATTGGGAAGTCATTGTAGTTAATTCCATATGCATAATCCTCACGTATATTTTCCAATATTTCGCAGACTGGGCATATCTGCTTGTTATATGGCCACACTTCGGATTTTTCCTCTATTTTGTATCGCTAACATTCAAAATCGGGTTTATTGTTGATATTTCCAATGCTTTGATGTTTTCAATAACATTAACTGCTGTTTTATTGGATATTGTCACGTTTATAGTACATTTTGCTAATAACATCAATCATAACGTTCCATTCATCATTGCAGTAGTCTTTTTCTTGATAAATCCGATAATCGGAATAATTTTCTTTTCAATTCGCGAGAAAAAGATAATTAAAGAGCTTAGTGATGAAACCGACAGCGTAAGAGAAAACAGAAAAGATTATTATGACTCTTTGAAAATTGCAAAATCTGTTGGCCATGCGACAATGTACTTAACTGTTGGCATTACTCATGCTTGTCCGATGCTATATGACTTTTCATTGATAGAATATCTGTTTTCTTCGAAGATTTCCGATGAATTTCTTCCTTTTTTGATACAAATCGTAAACTTTTTCCCAGAAGAGACAAGGCTTTTGAACAGATTGACTATGGCATTGACGTCAAAGAAGGGTTTACCTTATGATCAGAGATTTTTGATTTTTGAAATTTATAAAGTCAAAACTTTGAGGCAATTTTCTGCTTCTGCTGATTCAAACTTCAAGTTGGCAGAGATGAAATCACTTTCCAGACAGTTGGAAGCTGAAATTAAGGAAGTTTTGGACTCAAATAGAAAAATTAAATTTTCCTACTTTGAATATCTGTCGATTAAGACCAAAAGAACTGATGCCATCTGGAAAGAAGCACTAACGACATATCCGAACAGTTCAAAATTCTGTGAAGAGTATTGCAGATTTTTAATTGAGTGTAAAACGGATTATATCGAAGGAATTAAGATCAAATACAGAGAGAATATGATTGAAATGGGTAGAAGTTACTCTGTTGACTTTTCTTTCCGCTCATTAGTAAAATTATTTCCGAAATACCTCACAAACGACATTCTTGATCTCAAAGGACGTGTCATTCGGAAAAGGATGAATCTCAGTCGCAGCAGGAATTCTTCTAGTGCTAACTTTGGCTCTTCTTCCAGTTCGAACATTGCACACAGCCAAAATTCATCCGAAATCGATGATTCATTACAAGAATCAATCGGAAAGAAATCTTTCCATTTAGCAAAACAAAGAATAGCTCTTCATCGTGCTCTTGTTAACAAGTATCCTAAGTCTTTAAAGTGTATAATTCCTCTTGCAATTGTTATTCTTATTATTGTTTCTATTCTTGTTTTGTTTATTTTCTTTTACGCGAGATCTCAAATGATTGCAGCCACAGAATCAATGAATTTATTGGATGCGATGTCTAAAACAAGGTTTTACATCGCTATCAATGATATGCAGATCATTTTGAGGATGTGCAATGATAGAAATAATTTCGGAAGATACAGTTCAATTATAAAAGCATTAGATCGTGAATGTGAATCAGAAGATGTTATATTTGAATCAGAAAAAGATTATTTAGTTCAAAGTTTTCCAAATTTACATAACGCGATGAATGAATTCACCAATTTAATTAATGACATTGCATCAATGGCTAATCAAGGAATGAATGTTTTCAACATCGCATCTCATTTGTTAACAAACAAGTTTATGTTGTATACTTGTTATGGTGGATATCCTGTTTATTATGTCAATGAAACAATCACTACAATGGTTACTGTATTTTTCGCACATCAATCATTTATCATCACAAAAATTAATTCAAATATTTCTGACATGTATTCTTATCATCAATTTTGTGAATTGTTATCTAACTTGAAGATGTTTTACACATACATTCCTGAGGTATTCACTGACTTCTGCAATTTCCAAATTGATCAAGGAAGTGCAGTAAAAGATAAGTTTTCAACAATAGGAATAGTTATTCCAATAATCATTGCATTGATTTTTTTCCTTCCTATTTTAACTCTTCATTTATTGATCAAGAAATCAGTAAATGAAATAACAGAAATCTTGTTTTCATTGGATACAAAAACAAGACAAGATGCAAAAGAAATGATTTATTATTCAGATGATAATGAAAATTTGAAACAAACAGAAAATCATCATCAAAGTTTTATAAGTGTTTGTTATATTTTTGTTATATTATTTATTTCTTTGATTATTGTTGTTTTAGCTGTTTTAATGTGTATGATTATTATTAATTCTATTAATCACGTAATTGATCTAAATAGATGGGATCAATTAGCAACATTAAGATTGTCTTTAACTGCTGAAGTTATGAATACTTTGACATTCGGATTAACTTTACATGATAATCCAGGATTAACTCGTATTTCAACAAAAGAACAAGCCGCAGAAATGATCTATGTATTGGCAATGAACTTAAAGTCATCTAATGAGAAGTTATTATTAGGAACTGATGATGTTTCTCCTTGTTCAGGTTTCGATGAAATTTTAGATAAAGAGAATTTTCAAGATGAATCGATTAACTCAGATAATTTAGAACTGCATGAGATATACATGCATGGATCGATTAATTCACAACTGAAAATATTACTTGATAACATTAAAACAATTGTTGAAGAATTATACATTTCTCCAACTTTGTCAAATGATGCTTATTCAACAAATGTTCATTTATTGAGTCATCATTTATCAAAGAAATTAATGAAAGTCACTGATAGACTCAAAGAATTATCTCATATAGAATATAATGATATGTCTGCAGATTTGGCTTATTTGTTGATTCCTTGTTTCATTTTAGTTATTTTATATGCAATTGTTATTGTTGTTTATTACAATATAATGAAATTGACATATGAAGGCGCAATTTCTATTTTGAAGAGAATTAATCCTCTCCATTTGATCAACAACAAATTATTCATTCAGAAGTTTATGATGAAACAAACAACAAATACAAATGAGATCCAGAAAACTGTTTCCGGTTCAATTATCCATAATTTTGATGATGTTGTTTTGTGTACAAATGTTTATGGTGTTATTGATATTGTTAATACATCAGCAACATCTATTCTTGGCTATTCATTGGACCAATTATTAGGACAGAATGCAACTTCATTTTTAGTCCAAGCTGATGAAGAAAAAATTGTTACACAAGTAGATAACATGAGAAACAACAGGAGTTCATCAAATGTTTTTGTTGAAGATGTAGCAGTGTTGACAGACACGAATCAATTAGTTCCATGCAAATTAACATTGTTAGGAATTAAAAACAATAATGATGAATTGAAATCATTTGTTTTTATTTTGCATGATCAATCACAACTTGCAAAACAACAAGAAGAAGCAGAAAAAGCTAAAGCAACTTCAGAGAAATTGCTTTACCAGATATTACCAAGAGATATTGTTATCAGACTCAACAGAGATGAAACAGATATCACATTCACTGTTAATTCGTCAACAATTTGTTTCATTGACATTGTTAAATTCAGTGAATATTCATCACATTTGAGTCCACAAGAGATTATGTATAACTTAAGTTATTTCTTTGGAACTATTGATACTATTTCATCTAAATTCAATTTGCTGACGAAGATCAAAGTTATTGGTGATATCTATATGTGCGCATCTGGTTTGTTTGATGACAGCAACGAACACGCCGAACAAATGATTTTGTTTGCAAACGAATTCGTCAGAGAGTTGGATGAAATAAATATCAAACTTGATTGCAATTTGAGTGTAAGAATTGGTGTAAATAGTGGCGGACCAATTCTTGGATGTGTTTTAGGAAAAGAGAAACCAGTTTTCGATATCATTGGAGATCCCATTAACGTTGCTTCCCGTCTTCAAAGTACTTCGCCTCCAAATTGCATACATATGTCACAAGGTACTTATGACATGGTTTCTAATTTGAATTTTGATATTAAACCAAGAGGAGAAGTTTATTTGAAAGGAAAAGGAAAAACTAACACATATTTGATGAATCCTCTTCAAACACTAATGGCACAGAACTCTCAACTTGATGGAAATCCATTGTCAATTGCAGGATCTCAAATTCGATTGGTTTCTCAATTATCTCCAATACAATCCGAACTTATGTTCCAGAAACAGGTATAATGTACTTCATTATTATTTTTGTATTTTATTTAAATTTGTTTTTAATTTTTATTTTTACTATCCTATTTTCTAATACACTATTTTGAAAATATTGACAAGTTATGCTAAGGATGTCAATTTGGAAGAAAAGTGAGAAAATTCCTAAAATGCTAAAAATGAATTTTCCAAACGTGCTTTTTTATCTCATTTTTTTGATTTTGAAAAAAATTTGGAGAGAAGAACTCTTCGTTTTTGAATTTTATCACGATGGTTTTAAAGTATATTAGACACATGTATTGATATTACTATTTTTGTATATTTTGAGAGAAAATCCCTAAAAAGTGAGAAAATCTAAGACGGTTTGAGAAAATATATAAACTATTGAAAATTTGAATTAAACTTCTAATTTGGAAAAAAGAAATTTGGAAAGAAGAAAAATCAAAAATCGAGATTTAGACTCAGCATCAAATGGAGAACAAAATGTTTCTTCATATGAAGGGAAAAAAATTTTCTTGTGAACAAATAGAGTTTTTAAAATTTTATTGTATGTAATGAAATAAACAAATATTAAAATTATTTTTTGATAACAAGAAAATTCCCAACAGAAAATATTTGAGACAAAGAAAAAAGAAATTGAAAAATATTACTCTCCTTTATATTTCATGAGATTTTAAATTTATTCTCATAAAATTGACAATTTTATACGTTTAGATGAAAATAATTGATTTTGCTTGAAATAAAAATTATTGTTTGCTTACAGCTATCAAATAGATTTTTGCTATTTTGATTAAAATTTGTTAATCAAATTAATAAATTTTTTGTAAATATCTTAAATATCTGGATCACTCACTGATACAATGAATTGAACGATAAAAAAATACAAACTCAACTAAGTTTCCTGTCTTTCAACTAAAAAAATTATGCAAATTAAATTAAATTGTTTATTCAAATATTAAACAAAGATGAAGTAATTACAGTTATCATAAACTTTATGAATAACTCTGTAATTGGTTCAGATTTTCGTAAAAATATTTTTATTAATATCAATAAGAATACGTTTACCTACTATCACAACATATCGATAAACAAGAGTAGAGTGATTTTTATCATCGAAACTTTTTAAAAGCTGTAAGCTGGAAGTAAAAATCTTGTTTTTTCTGAGTTAGTTGTAGAACTATTGATGCACGAGTTATCATTGTGATGTAGACGGATGTCAATGTACTGACTGAAGGATATGAAGTGAATTGAATTTCATTGAATTTCAATTTGATCAAAATTTGTTGAAATGATATGAATGTGTCAACATCTGTATCACTCTCTTTCACTCCTTCCCTATTTTTTCGAGAACGAAGCTAGCTCAGCTTTCGCTGAGCGAATTGACACTTTTGATGCCCTAAACGTACATGCTCTCAAATTTATCGAAAAAAATTATACAACCTAAACTCGTCTATTCTTATTTTAAATATGATATTATCCTTAGAATCCACACTAGAATATATTTAAATCAACTTTTAAAAAAGTTCGAATCCTGCGCATCTCACTTTTTAAATTTTCCAAAAGGAAAATTATATTCTCCTAAAATGAAAATAATTTTCCGAATTGACATCCTTAGTTATGCAGAAAATAGTAGTGTATTATTCGCAAGACACATCTTAATAAAATTTAATTTTTTTATTTTTGAGTCTTTGAGCTTAAATCTCATAAACTGTAATTCTTTACATTAATCCAAAAGCTGTTTAAAATAAAGTTTGTATCGAAATGTTGATAATTGAATTTCAATTAAAAGAAATTGAGTTCATAGATAAGGATATGATATATTCTTATCATAGACATAAACGTAGTGACATTTTATTTTGAGGTTTCGATCACTGCCCGTTTATATTTTAATAGGTTTTTATCTTTTTCAATGGATTGTAAGTTCATAGAGAAATACAGTGAATTCATTGAAACTTATCATAAACTATTTCACCTAAAACAGCATGAGTCATCCGAATCGGACTATAAGGAATTCACAAAAGTTTTAATTGACAAGTACAAGATGCCTATTGAAAGTTTGGCTTTAAATTTAGTTACTGCAATCAGATATAATGTTCAATCTATTGATTTCTATATTACATTTCTAAACACAATGGTCGAGGAATATTCAATCAATAAATTTAGCTTGAAAAAAATAATAAACGAAGTTAGAGATAACAATATCCTGAGAGTGTTTTTAGATTCATTTTCTAATATTATATATTTCGGTGATCCCTTTGACTTATTTGAGGATGAAAACAGTCTTGATGTCATAATTATGAATGATCAAATAGATAAATTCAAAGAATATATATCTACAAACTCTCTTCGTGATTACTTTTTCTTTGTTCCTGGTTTTGCTGATATTTCTCCAATGGAGGCATGCGCATATTTCGGTTCCGTTAACATCTTCTTTTTCATTTACAAATGCTTGGACTTTGAGATTACTGAAGGGTGCTTTCATTGTTCATTTATTGGCGGAAACATTGATATTATCAATGAATGCATGAAGCATTATGAAATAGATGAAATGTGTTTACAATTCATTATTGAATCACATAATGACAAATTTCTCGATTATATTTTCGAAAGAGATCTCTTTGAACTAGAGGATATTCAGGATGATTTAATCATTGAATCATACAACTTGAAAGCAATGTTTCATATTTTTAATAAAGACAAAAACTCTATAATTCCATGGTGTGCTGCATTTTGCATCTTATTATAATAATATTGATATTTGTAAATACATTTTAGACTCATCTAATCCAAATATAATTGATATTGGCGTTGAAGATTTATCATTTTTAACACCACTTCATCTTGCCTCAATAAATAATTGTACGGAAAGTGCAAAATTTCTAATTTCACGTGGCGCAGATATCAATGCAAAAGATGAAGAGGGAAGAACCTCACTGCATCTTGCTGTAGTTAATAAGGCCCAACAAATCATTGATCTTCTTATATCACTTGGCGCAGATATCAATGCAAAGGATGAAGATGGAAGAACCCCACTGCATCTTGCATGTTATTATAAGAAAACAGAAATCAGTGAATTTCTGATTCTAAATGGCGCAGATATCAATTCAAAGGATATTAAAAATAAAATGCCAATACATTTTGCAGCAAAAGATTCCCATCCTGCATTATTAAAGTTATTAATTGCTTATGGTGCAGATGTTAATGCTAAAGATCATAAAGGAAAAGCTCCTCTTAATTATGCAAATACAAGCTATGGTCAGCAATCATTAGAGATTCTTCTTTCAAGTGGTGCGGATATTAATACAATGGATAATGAGGGAAGAACTCTTCTTTTTGAAAAAGTATCATCCCATAGAAGAGAATCGGTCGAATTTCTTATTTCACATGGGGCAAATTTAAATATAAAAGATAAAAACGGCGAAACAGCACTTTCTAAAGCTATTGAAATAAATGACACAAAAATTATTGAAATACTACTTTCACATGGTGCACTTCAATATAATTGAGAGGATACGCCCATGGATGCTTATAGCACAAGCACTTAAGCAATGTAATTTATCATTTGTTAATCTTGATACTTAAAATATTTTATTGAATTTATTTATTGCTATGTAATTATCAGAATTATACCAGTAACAATTTGAATGCTCAAATTTTCATAATAGAAAACAGTTTATGTTGTCGATTCTGATTGAAGTAACTGTTATTAAAGAAATCTAAAGATGTATTATGCTATTATTATATATCCTTTTTTTATTTGTATTAGTTTTAAATAATTTAAACAAAAATTGTTTGATTAATTCATGAAAATCAAATGAAATATAATGTTACTCAAGTATTGAATATCTCAGTCTAATACATTGTCTGATTTTTTATTAGAAGGTTAGAACGATGGATAATATGTTTGCTAGTAAGTCAGAGTTTAATGATTTTGATCGTTTTTCTAATATTAACTTTTTTGTTTTCTTATCCATAAACAATTACCGAATTTGAAAATGGAATTAGATTTAAAATACTATGTCATAGTTGTTTTTAAATAGTATAGGATTTGCTTTTTAATTATTGCATGAAAAAAAATGGTTAAATTTTTATTAATTCTCCTTTGAAGTCAAAAACAGTAATATTGAAATAGTCATAATTCTTTGAACTCTTTCCTGTTTGTGTTATTTTGAAAGCCACAAAATAATCATTAGTTTGAAGTGGAAATTCCTTGATTTCTCTTTTTTGAAATTCATAGTATTGATTATCTAATACAATAGATGTTCCATCTTCTTTGGTACCTTCTAGCTTCCAACTTCTCAATAAATTAGAATTTTCAATGCATTTTGATCGTAGAATATATGATTTTGGCTTTAATTTATATCTATTTAGATCAGCTTTTACCCATGAATTAGGTTTATCATCTGTAACGAAATGAGCATCATCTAAATATGAATTTATATCGGATAAATTTCCACTACAAATAGTGAAGCAGTTATTGGCATTTGAATTTCTTTTGAAACTTTTTCTACAAATTTTGGTATACCAACACTAAAACTATGATTTGAGATTTGAAATTGATTTTGAATCAAATGTTTTTCGAAAGATGTAATAGTTTGATTTGAAATTTCAAATTTATTTATTGATTTTGAATGATAATGTTTCAATGTTTCATTATAAATAGTTAAAAGACTTGATTCATAAGAGTTTTCAACTGAAAAATTATAAATCTCGTCATAAACTTCTGAAGAACAAAATTGTAAATTAACATATCCAAATAAATCAAATAATGTACTGTCTCTTCTGCAAGTATCTAAAAGTAACAAACTTAGTTTGTCTTCATTTTCGATTTTCAATTCTTTTGAATTCAAAATTTTTTCACAAAATTCAAATCCATTTTTGACAAAATTTGTAATGATATCATCATCTTTCAGACTGTAGAAATGTGATGATATGTACTCAATGCATTCATTTATTGTCGTAGAATCGTTTTCGTAAGCAGAAATTTCGTACTTCTTAAAAACGTTTTCATTTGTGAGAGATTTGTCTGATTTAACATGTTTAGCATATATTTGTATGAGTAGTTGATTTCCAAAATGTTTGCCGATTTCGACTATATCATGATAATGAGGCTCATCTGCTTCAAATTCAAGTTTACCTGTTTCAATAAAGTTTGAAAGGATATCAATTGAATCTTGACATATTATATATAAATATGTATTCAATGATGTGATTGATTTATCAATAAAATACTTTTCTTTGATTAATTCTGAAAAACAAATCGCTGATGACTTCTTTGTATTGATTATTCGATCATTAATACTGTTACAGAATGTACCACATTTAGTAATAACATGTGCACGCTCTAACTCTTTGCAAAATTTCGAAATTTGCACCATAAAAAAAATCCAACTTTTTTTTCCTCAATCTATCGGTGCTAGTCATAATATCTCAATAAGAAAAATGGAACACCACAGTATGTTTTTGTTGAATACCTTATGGTGAGAAAAATAATAATGCCCTAAAAGAACCAAATACTATACTTTTCGAGATAAAATAAGTTTAACTTAATGTATTTCAGTAGTTTTATTAAGTGAAATTCTCCTTTTATGGTCGTTTTTTGTTCGAATATTCATCAGAAAGTATTTCAATTAAAATTATTTCTGGAATTCTGAAAATAAATCTGACGAATGGCAATTAATCTTTCATTATTTCGCTTTGTCAATAATGGAAGTGCAACTTTATAGAAAAATAATAATATTATTTAAAATATATATAGAATATGTTTAGTTACCGGCTGTTTGTGGAGAGTTGCAGCATGGACATCTTCCAGTCTTCGAGATGTATCTATCCCAATCTGATCTGTTGACTGTGGCACCACATGCAGTGCACTGTGCGGAGTTGATGACTGGATATCCGGTGATGTGGCAGAAATCAAATGATGATCTGCAGCTGTTGCAAACTAAACCAGCAGCATACATCTGTCTGTGACACTTAGGGCATGTATCCATTGGAACTTTGCCGTCAACCTTACCATTGACTGTCTGGTCCAATGCCCATTGGCTGATTCGGTCTGCGATATCCTGTGAAACGGACAATTCTTTCCTCAAGCACAAATTCTTAGGAATGTCTGTTTGTGTGAATGCTGTCTGGTCAATGTTGTTTTGGCCAGATGACAAAGCATCGGCAATATCGATGAATCTGTTATAGAAAACTAATGCGGCATCGAGATTATTCTCTTTCTCCATAGATTCTCCGGCTTTATAGAACAAATAATCGGCAGGAACAATATCGGAATATCTCAATATAGAGACACTTGCTTTGGATGCTAAATCACTCATTCCTAACTGCATCAATGTGTTACGCATGCAAAGTAAATGAACGGCACGTGTCATGTTGATCAACTTATTGTCTGCATTAGATGAGCTACGAACAATCTTAAACATCATAGTTCTCAAATCAAAGAATGTCTTTGGAAGGTTGTCGTAGTTATGAACACCATAAACAGTTGCCTGGCAAAGACTGATGTATGCAGGAATAGATGATGTGTTTGTACTTGGTGAGTATTTAGCTAAAATTGAAATAGCTTTGTCGAAATCTTGGTTATCAACTAAAACTTGAGCGTATTTCATAGTGTACTTTTCAAGATATTGTGGACCTTGGTTCTGTGCTTCTTGTAGACATTTATCCCAGTCACCGCGAGATGCAATCATCTCTAAAGCTTGGTCGACATTTCCTGTTTCAATAAGTTTGCTCTCGTTCCCTTTAGATGCAAGCCACTGCTGGTAATCACGCTTGAACTGTTCTTGTTCTGGTGGATCAAGATATCCAGAGATGCGTTTAGCATCTTCCCACATCTCCGCGTCTTTGTAGATCTCAACAGCATCTGTGTATGCTTCGATTCCTTCAAGGATCTTGCCTAATGATGCTGATCGACCAAGTGAAAGTAAAAGTCGTGCAACCTGTGTAACAACTTCTTTCAATCGCTGTTGTGAGAATGATGCTGCTAATTTCACTGCGCGATCTAAAACTTGGTCGTATCTTCCTTCGCTTCCACAATCTTGGACTGAGATATTCAAGTAAACATCGATTGCACCATCGAAATCTCTTTGGTTCTCCAATGCAAGACCTTTCTTTAATCCTGTAAGTGAAGAACTGTCTTTCTTCGATGTGAAATTCTCTGTGTTTGTTGTAGATCCAACACCGTATTTCTGTGCAATTCTTGTTGCATCATTATTCATCTTATTATGTGTGTACATTTCATATGCTTCTTGTGGAGCATCTGCCATGATGTAGTGCTGTTCTGCTTCAGAGAATTTGTTCTTAGACTCGAGATATAAACCAATCTTTAAGTGCGCTTCGTTCAAAACTTGTTTGGAAATTGTCTTGCAGTTATCCATGATTGTTTGTCCAAAATCAATCATTGTGTTTTCACAACAGAATAACAAAGCTTCTTCGACTTTTCCAAGAGAAACAAGCTTCTGAACACCAGCAGCTCCACCGATATCTCTTGCCCAATGTATAGCGATTTGTAGTTCTTGGTTCTGTCCTGGTTTTCCATAGTTTTTGGCCACTCTCATCGCGTCTTGCCATTTCTTCTCTTGTTGGTACATGAACAGTGCTTTTTCTGGTTTATCAGCTCTGATGTAGAATGATTCCGCACTTGCAAGGTCTCCTTCTCTTTCTGCTTTCGCTGCCAAATCTTCCAATTGCTGTTTGTTTCCTCCGTATTTCTGTGACAATCTTAATACTGAGTCATTATCTCCAGCAGCTGTGTACATTTCGATTGCAAGTTGTGGCTGGTTGATTGCCAAATAGATTTCTTCGGCTGTCTTCATTGTTTGTGGCTTCTTGTCGAGTTTCTTCGCTGTTGCAATGAAGAGTTTGTCAGCTTCGTCTGATTTCATGAATCTCTTCGCGTGTCTCTGTGCGTCTTTGACTTTTCCATTCATCAAATACATTTCTATCAGATCTTTGTGGGCATCGACAGAAAGAAACAAGTCTTCCGCAGTGTTCACATCGTTTTGAGATGCGAAATGACGGGCAACTCTCAAGAACATAAGTCTCAAGTCGTTCTTGTGTTCAGGGGATGATGAAACTGACTTCAAAATGTCTGCAGCTTGGTTCCATTGTTGTGCTCTGATTGCGCAGTTCAATGCCTGTCCGTAATCTCCTGCATCGGCGTAATGAACAATTGCTGCTTCGTTTTGACCAGTTTGGACTAAATAATCCGCCCATTCGTGTTGTATTGGAACAACTAACTCTGGTTCAGCCGATTTGGCAAGCTCGAGGGCGTTGAAATAAGCATGGCCTTTCCTGTAACTTTCCAATGCTTGTTTCGTGTTTCCGAGCTTTTCGTAGATTTGGCCGGCGATATCGTCTCTTTTTCCGGAAAGTGCTTCGGCAACATGGGATAATAATTGTGGATTGGCCTTGTCTTCGTGTTGGAGAAGGATTTCGGCGGCCAATTGTGGTTTGTTGCCTTGCAAACAGAGATCAACAGCTTCATTAACTTGTCCTTTGGCTGCTTTCATTCTGGCAGTGGTCTGATATTGTCCTGTGCTCATGAGATGCTTGAAATATTCATCTCTTAAGGCTGGAGCTCGAGATGGACATCTTAATTCTGCAAGATCGAGCAATTCGTTCCACATCTGCATGGATTTGTACATGTTAAAGGCATCTTCGATCCGGTCGTGCTCGATAAGGCAGTATTCGGCTTGTTTGTAGTTGGATTGTAACATTGCAATGTGAGCTTGGACTTGGCATGAAGAAGGACCTTCCTTTTCCATGAGTTTGTTGATCTTGTGGATGAATCTGGCCTTGGATAAGTCGCCAAGTTTGGAAAATGCGATTTCTGCAACTGTATAATCATGGCCATCCATAGCAGCAGTGGCCAACTCGTCCCATAATGATCTCGCGGTGCATGAATCTTCCATTTGCATGAGGATCTGTGCGGATTGGCGGAGATTTTTAGATTCCATTGCGGCAGAAAATGCAATGAAAGCGCCATCGAGTGGTAATTGTGAGGTAGAACCAGCATTCTGGATTGTTACTGTTGTTTTTGTCCCACTACGGGCAATATCCATTACATCACCTTCGATATCAATGACTTTGACCTCATCTGGTGATGTTGGAGAGTAGTAAACGTAAAGAGATTTCTTGCTCTGTGCAACAATAACGTTGGCTTCTGGAACCCATTGAGCATAAGAACAAAGATTAATTAAACCGTTCAATTCCTTTGTTACGAGGTTGTAGAGATAAAGGGAGCGCTTGGCATCTCTAAAGAGCAACATTGTGCCTGAAACGTTGAGTTCCAACCAGTCAATTTTAGATTGAATCTGAACTGTTCCAATTGGGGCTTGTGTTTCAACATCGATGATCCTTGTGGTCTTAGAATCGACGAGGTATGCAAGGATCTTCGAATTTCCGCGGCCAATCTTCGCATTGAACCTCAAAGAGAGTAAATAAGAACTGGCATACTGAGTAGGGATAGAAGCGAGTGAATTTGTCTTTCCGAGCTCAACAACTGTAAGTTCGCCTGTATTCCAGACTAAAACTGCGATATCATCGATGAAAACGAATCTTTCGTTGATTTGAGGCTGTCCATCGCAAAGAGGTGCAGGCATTTCAGATGTCTTGCCACTCTTTGTGTCGCCAACAAGGAAAGATTGAGTAGTTCTGACAATAACGTAACGATCTTGTTGGAAATTAGTTGTAAGGATTCTGTATTCTGATCTTAAGTTGACTTCTTTCTTTGTGTGTAAATCTATGATTTTAATTTGAGATCCAGAAACATTTATGCATTCAAACAATTTTTTGTAGCGGAAAGATCCCATTGAAGCTGAAATAATGAATACCGAGCCTGTTACAGAGGCAACAGCGATCCTTGAGCCGTCAGGACTCCAAGAAATATCAGGAACTTGATAAATTCCGTCAAATTGAATATTATTTGTCTGATTCCACTTCTGGCCACTTGTAGAGTAGTTAAATGTCATTAATGAGTTACGAGCAGCGACCATTGCTGTTGTTCCTGATGGATCGAACGTAGCAGCTGTAAATGAACGAAGATCTGGTTGATTTGAGAAGTCTACGACGCTCTTACTGCCTCCATTTGCATCCGAAAACGCAATCTGAAGGTCAGCGCCTGCTGCAAGTACTTGTGTACCCCAAGCAAGGGCTAACGGAGGAACAGAAGACTGTAAAGCAACTACACGGCTCTTGTTATCGAGATTTACCATGAAAACGCAGCCATCAAGATGTCCAACAACAATTGCATTTTGTCTTAAATTCGAAGCCATGCTCATTGGAGAGGCGTTGTGGCGGTAAAGTTCTTCGACTCTCTTTAGTTTTGTCAATGCGAGGAATACTGAGCCATCTGCTAAGCCATAAGCGAATTCTCCGGATGAAGAATTTGGCCAGCAAACGCAGAGAGGCGCACCTTTTGTGGCAACTCTCATTGTAACTTTCTTACGATAGTCAACTGCATTAGCTGGGCCAATATCGTAGACAGCAATCGTCTGATCAGATTGACCTACAGCAAAATGTGAACTATCTGGGGCCCAGTCAAAACCGGTTACAGTAAAGTCCTTCTTCGCATCTTCTTCACGTGCTTTGATCGGAATTTTAGAGATTTCGTTGGAAGATATCGTTAAAAATTGAACTATGTGATCAGCGGTGCCAATTGCAAGACGTTCACCGTCTGGTGACCATCTAACAAATACAACACGCTTCTCAGGATTGTTCGATCCTTGAATAATAGTATTCTGTAGATCGAACTTCATAATTTATAATAAAAATATTTTTTCAAATAAGAGCGAGAGAAAAAAAAATAAAAACGTGCATGAAAAAAAAAAATTAGTAACGTAATTTTGGTAAAGACACTGTCCTGATAACAATAATCTATAACAACATTTATAAACAATTCATACAATAACAATGAAATTTGGGCTACATTCCATATGTAACCAACAAATATAAGGTCAAAAAGCTTCTAAATTCTGCAGCATTTGGATCTACGTGGCATGTTCTTTGACTTGTTTCTGGATTCGGATGGTTTCTTTTTTCCTCGTGCGACAATTCTTGCAATAGGTACCATTTTTACAGTCGAAGAGCCATCAATCTCGCGTGAATGTTCGACATTTTCCGATTCTTCTTCTGAATCTGATTCTGGATCGTTATTTATTTTAACGGACTCTTGAGAGGAGTCCTTTTTTTTGCTCATAATCAAATTGAATTCGTGTCACTTTTATTTGAATCAATTTTTGAAGGTGCGTCTCTCAGTGAATTTGATCGCACCTTACGAATGCAGATAAAATATATTTCATTGTTTTTTCTTACAAAAGTAAGGGTTTAGCTCAAAGAATGAATGATAAAAATTAAGAAGGACTCTGTTCGACCATTTATTTCTTCTCAATTTTGGGCAATTTTTGGAGCTCTAATTTTATGATATAAATAAAAAGAACCCAATAACGCGATTGATATTTTGTACGTAAATAATGAATTCAATTTTTTTCAAAATTGAATTTTTACTGGTGTAAGAATGAACTTTTCTGTATGTTATAAACAAAATACACCATTGTTTACAAAAATAAACGTGAATATTTAAGAAATAAACAAAATAATAAAATAAATAAATTAAAATTATGTGATGTAAGAAGGAGGGACCAATGTTCTATAAGGTTCAAGCATTGCCTCAACCTTAGGAGTAACGGAGAACGAGTGCTGTTTCCAGAACAGCGACACGGAGTCCTTCAAAAGTGTTTTATTAGCACTTTTTCCTTCCAACTTATCTTTGACAACTTCGAATGCGTCGATGATTATTTGGTCGCATTCATCGAATATCAAAGCAGCATTTAGAACTGCAGCAGCTGTTAACTCATTGAGCTGTGTCTTCTTCTTCGTTGCTAACATGATTCTTCCCAAAACAGCCAATGCTTCTCCCTTCAAGTTCTCATTTGTACATTCAGAAATGAACTTTAACATTATATCATAGAAATGATCATATTGTTTGGAATTAAAAGCAAATGCATCCATAGTAATAATCGTTAAAATATGGAAGATCATTTTCATTTGGAGAGGCAGACTCAATCTATTCATGTTTCCTATAATCAAATCTATGTAATCAACAAGTAAATCAGGTCTGTACAAGAAATATTGATGCATTGTAAAATTCAAAATTGTTGAAAAGATCGCATCTTCTGTTTCTTCATCTGTTTGGTTACTCGCCATCAATATGATTCTCTGGTGCTTGAGAATGATAGGAGCAAGGACTTCTACAGCCATAACAGATGACATGGAGACATAACTCAAGAAAACAATGATAACTCCTTGAGCGTTTTTATTCGATGTATTTATTTTACTAAATGCGTCATCGAATTCATTGATTAACTTGTTCCTTTTCTCTTCAAGAATTGGAGAATATAATGCAGATGATTGTCTGATGCATGTAGATTCAACAAGCATAACAAAAAGACAAGCAAATTCTGAGTTAATTGATCTGTTGAAGCTGTTCAATCCACTGAAGAAAGGATGTAAGAATTTGTCAACAATCAAATCGAAATTAACGAAAAATGAAGTTGGTCTTGAACAAAAGATGGTGTTCAAATGGTTGAAGAACGATCTTGTAATGATTGTTGAATCATTAGGAGATATTGTTGAATACTCAAACAACAAATTGATCAAAGGAGAAGCGTAATCCATGATTTGCTCACTGAACATGACCAAGAAAATTCCATCACTTTGTTCAGCAAATTGCAAATTCAAAGAACAAGCACAAATAATTGGGAGAGCGACTTTGTGGACAAATCTCTTGTAGATCTGGAAATCTAATTTAGGAGCAGCTAAACTAACACCTTGTAGTAAATAAGCGAATGTCGGAATCGCGAAAACAGACAAATTATATGATAATAATTTTTTGACATGATCAGCAATTAAATCAACAATTTCTTCAGTGAACGTCATTGCCAAATAACTCATCAGTATTGGGAAGCTCTGTATCACGACGTGTTTCTCGGAATCAACAGCGCAGAATGAATTAATTATCCTTAGAATAGCTTCAGGAGCAACGTCTGGAGTGTTTTGAGGGAATTTTTTGATCATTTCGTTCTTTGGATAAAAATTCCATCCAGCGGATTGCGAATAGAAATAAGAAGGAATATTTGGTTCATCCCAATACAACTCCATGTTTTCTATTGCTTCATAGATTTTGTCAATGACTGTTGTAGGACTCTGTTGCATTACAACGCCATCAACTCCGATGTCTGAATCATTTGACATCACGAGCATTGCGTTTTTATCATTTTCTGCTGATGACATTGATCCATCATTATAAATCATTGTTTGTTCTCCGAGTTCTCCTTCATCAATCTCCATTTCGCAACCATTATCTGCTATGTCGTGAACACTTTGTTCTCCATTTAAAACAGCCAAAACTTGTTCATCAGTCATTTTATCAGGATCTATTCCTTGCATCTGCATTTGCATGTCAATTTGCATCTGCATTGACTGATGCTGCTGTTGCTGCTGACTGATAATCATCTGCTGCATTTGTTCCATTACTTGGTCAACTGCATCGGGAATTTGTTCTTCAGGAACTCCTTGTTCTCTTAACATCATAACGATCTCGTCAATTGATGGCATCTGCATCATACATTCATCACCAACTTGATCTATGGGATCAGGTAAAACGTTCTCAACAATATCACTGAGTTTACAATTATCGTTAAACGCCAATTGACAACTTCCAATGATATCTGGGAAACTTTCAAGTTTTGGTGTGAAATTGTTTGGTTTTTTGACTTGTTCAAGTGGTATTCCTTTGAACATGATGATTATACATAGATATGCATTGGATGCAGTGTCAGAATCAGGTGAAGAAGCACAATCTAAGATATAATCTTGGAAGAATTGAGGTATTTGAATGTTATTCCTCAATATTATGATGAGAGCAAGCAAGATAATGTGATGGAAGATCTTGTTCTGCACGTGAACTGTTAATAACAAATTTTGGATTTTATCAAGAAGTTCGTTGAATGCAGATACATCACATTTGTCGTAGTTGGGAGCTCTTACGCAGTTTGTTGTCAAGAACTGGCGGAAAGAAATGATCGATTCTTGATCTTTGATATCAAATTGGGAAAGAACTCTGTAAATCGCATGGCAAAGGATTTGTGAGTTGCTGGAGATGATGGAGAAGATAATAGGAATAGTCATGAAATCAATGAACTCATCTGTTGGGATTTCTGACGATTTTTCAACGATTTTGAAAACTTCTTCTGAATAAACTGATGAATAGAAGTCTCCTACGCAGGCAAGAACCTCTCTGACAACAGCTCTGATTGGTTTGTATCTTGATGTTGCCAAAGGAAGTAAAGCTGAGAAGAATTGTTTGATCAAATCTGTTGCTGGAAGTAAATGTGAGGTCATCCTACGGTGATGGAGCCATTTAACTATCGGGGTTATGATGGACTTGACCGCAAGGTTGTTCTCTCTTTCGCATGGCCAGAACTGGGCAGATAATTGGTCCATTGAATCAGGAACGTTGAAAGTCAAGGCAATCATGGGGATAAAAATGTTGGAAGTTGTGGGGATAAGCTTCCTCATGAGTAATGGATTGTCTGGGAAGTCTCTCATCAAACGAATTATAACCTTCATAAATTTATCTTTGAAAGGAATCGATTTCTTGGTGTATTCCTTACCGTTAAAATATGAGATCCTTGTTGCGATTGGTAACATGCTCAAATCTCCTTCGCTTATGTCGAAAATGAAATCACATAACGCCTGTAACGCATAAAGAGCTGGTCTGATGGCGGAAGTGACCTTGTTAGCATCTGTTTCTGTCAGTAGATAGTCGAATAATGGGTTAAAACACTCTAATGCCACATCATTGACATCAAATTTTTCTTTTGCATGGACCGTAAACTCGCTAATTGGTCGGAATTCGCCTTGCTTAGCGTTTATCGTCGTTGTAATTGGCGTACAAGCCCATGGAGTAATAGCAAATGCCAAAGCTTTGTAAGCGCACTTCTTTACCTTCTTATTTTGGTGCTGTGTGAGTGGTAGTATTACGGCAGTTATCTTTCTGACGTCGTCGGCGCATTTTGAGCCTCTTGTACTTACGATACCAAATAAATGTAAAATGTAGCAAATAGAAGCGACATCGTGGCGTGTCCTTAAGCAATTCTTGAATAATTCGATGCCTTCGTTGTAGATTTCTATGGGTACATTTTCGAAATATTTCGCAACTAAAGAAGTAATTAATTTGAGTACGTGAGAATACGATGTATCTTGAATTGCATCAAATATTATTGGCTTTAAAACCGTAAAAATCGTTGGTTCCCCGTCTTGGAAAATACTATCGAAAATTGTTCGAATTAATTCGCAAAATGAGGCGTCGATCGGAGCCTGCTTACCCTTGAAAGCCGGTAATCGCGATATAATATCGAGGTATGCCATAATAAAACGCTCAGTTAAACCTGTAAAATCGACGTAATCAACGGCAGGATTGCCATTTACGTGGTTGAATGGAATGAGGGAGGTAATTGTATATATCGCGTGTGTTAAAGGTCGTTGAGTATCTGATCTGTAGAAATTTGAAATTGCAATTTCGAAAATTCTGCCCATATTTGCAAGCAAGAAATCGTATTGTGTAATATCTGCCATTATTGCTGACATAATGTTCCATCCGATGTAGCCAATTGCTTGCGCATCTGGGTAAGAAATGCAAAGGTCGGCAAACTCGTAAAATCTTGGCGTAAATGATGTATCCATGTTCATAATTAATCGAATAGATTTAATGGTTGCAGAAGCGCGAGTAATATTGAGAGATTTGAGGAGGCAAATTAAAGTATCTACAATTGGCATTAATATTGTATGCAATTGCTCGTCAGTAAATTTAAGAGATAGCTGAGTAGCGTCATCCTTACTCTTTCGCTGTATAGAATTTATACATGATAAAGTTTGGAAAATAAATTTCGTAAATTTATCATCTGAGCTGCTGCTATCCTTTGATATTGTTTGCGCAGACTCCATAATCAATTTCATTTTCTCGATTGCTTGTTCTCTCGTTGGTGGCGACACCATCAAATAAACAAGCGATCTAGCGAGAAGTCGGGGTATCGATCCTTCGACGTCTTCAAGGTTGAACTGGACAGTCGAAAACTCGTAGCTCAAGTGGCCTGGACCTTGTTGAGTAAGTAATATACTGCATAAATTGACGACTATCGGCGTTAAGAAATCATTGAAGTCGTATTCAGTGTTCTTACTAATAAAAGTATTGAATATGCTAACGAGGGGTATAAGTTGTATTAAGCTCCCGTAGTCTATCAACAAATCTCGAATGTTTGGTAGCCATTTCTGGAAAGAGTTATCGTTTTGTGGGAGCATTTTGCTTATCATGGTTAAGTATACTGTCGAATCTACAGCGTGTGGTGCAATTTTTGGCAAAAATTTAGTGAATAATTGGTCCATTGTTCCTACGGGATAGCAAGAATTAAGGGAGCCCATGATCTTAAAAAGATTCGAGGTCAAGTCATCGGATTCAACGACAAAACTTGAAGGCGATTTAATTGTAATGTATCGATACATCTTATACAAGGGTTTCCACTCAACTGTAATATCTTTAACGGGCTTGTAAAAGAGAAAGGTTGCCATAAATTCGGCTGCTTCGTAAACTAAGCCGTAGGATAAAACTGGAATCGTAGTAATAATCTTGTATAATCGTAAAACAATTTCTTTATGAATAGATGGATCGATTTTCTTGCAAAAAAGCTTTATAGGTGATTTTGACAATGAAAATAATTTAATCAATGTTTGATACTGCTCTTTTTCTAAAAGTTCAATGAAAAAAGTGTTAAACTCCTTCCAAAAAACATCACAGTCTTCATCGGTGATCTGCTCCGGCTTGGGAAGGAGCTTGTGAAAAAGCAGAAAATTGAATTCTTTCATAATGGGTTGAAAAGTGACGCTCTAAAATTTATTATATCGGATTTGAATACTACGGTTTTATTGAAGATCAATTCTATATCACATCGATATTTGGAACCGATTTATCACTAAATGCTCAACATTTGTCAAGAAAAAATTCGATAATGATCTTTCAAACTCGGCCTTTGGGCTTACATTTACTAGTACAGATCCTACATTCTCATTTTTACCCCGATTCTTACTTCAGGGCTAACAAACATTTTGTTTGTTTCCTGATCTTTCAGGGAACTTCTATATTTAGTGGAAGTTTAATTCTTGCTAGGGTACAACCAACTATTACATAAGCACTACTCTGTGGTTTAAAGAGTCTTTTATTAATTTAAGCCGCTTGAAAATATCAAAATAATTATATTCCGTTAACTAATATGAGATACCGTGATGAATAACATCTACAACAAATGTATGTTTGTTTCTACTATGTTTGAGCTTGATTTGAAGATATTAATAAAAATTCGAGTATTAATAATAAAGAAACAAACAAATTTATTCAAACAAAAATAGTAAAATGCAAAGTAATTGCAGGGTTCATTCAACATATGGAGGTGGAGAAGCATGCCGTATAGGATCAGCTAAGTAAGGTATAGAAGCCATGAAAATTTTTCTAATAACATTAGCAGATGGTGTATTTATCTTAATTCTTGGTAATTTGCTTGCTGTTTTTACAACAGGGCGTATTACATTTGGCATATTCCACAAGTTATTAATCATTCCTAAAGCAGCTTCCCCGAGTTGTTGATCTCCAAGGAAAATATATGAATTTAAAATTTGATTTCTGAACTCTAATACTACTTCTTCGAACCCTCTGACTTGGAAGGATTTTAATAGGTTAAGAAGCTGAGCTAACTTGAATTTATTTGTACATGAAGCATCTGGTCTCCTCATGAACCCAACAATTTCACCAATGAAGGCACGCATGTCAGCGAATTTAAATTTTTCTGCAGAATTGCGAATGATTGTTATATTCTGCATATGCCAGCCGCCACCTTGAAAATCCATCTCGGATGAAAGTGCATTCAGAGCTGTTTTCAATTCTGAAGCTGAACTCGAAGATGGCATTGATAAGATGATTGAAAAATTAAAGAATTGAATGGTTGTTCCTCGTTGAATAATTTTGCAAAAATAAATGATGTTTATTGGAACTAGTTCAAAAATATATATTTTGTAATTTAGCCTAACACATAATTTGAATGACATTGAAAATTTTTGAAAAGAATGTAGTAACAGTGTTGGTAATACGCATGCGTATAAAAATATCGCAAAAAAAAATGAAATTTCACAAAAAGTTTGAACTCATATTCTATAATAATATTATTAAAATGATTTATTTGATATTTAATTAATATTTTTTTAATGCTTTTGATTGTTTTGATAATCAATTTTTCAATCATACGTTTTTCTCAATATTTCGAGTTATCTGAAATATATATCTATTTAAAGTAGCTATTATTGTGTGAAAATTTCTTGGAGAAAATACTGTTTTTGACATTAATGGTTAATTCAAAAAATAGAAATTTTCAGAATTTTTATTTAAATATAATGTATATACTATCACAAATTGAATTTATATTTAAAACAAAAATTGATAGATCAAACCATCATAACTGTTTTTTACAGTTCGCGTAATAATCATTAGTTCCTTGAATTTGGCCATGATGTTTCGATTTGATTCTTTCAAAAAAATTTGAGAGGAAAATTTCTTTCAAATTAAATAGTCGGCTATTTAGCTCTTTTCATTCATTATTGAAATGAGATAATAAGCATTAATTATTTCCTGTGATTTCCTTTCGAGGAAAAGGAATTGAAACAAAATATTAATAATTTCAATAATTCCAACAATTTGACCTTAATTTTTAAATATCCAGCCAATTGTTCGTTTAATATGCTATTGTCTAAAACGAATATTATTAAAATGAGAGAGGGTCAAAGTTGCTATTTGTCACTTTTCCACAAGAATATAATGGGGAACAAGTTATCATATAGTTGATCTCATTCACTGAGGTGAGAGATGCATGTAGTGTAATTTGATAAACAGTGGGATTGCTGCTCTAAGTCCTAGGTTCGAGACACATTGGCTTCATTTTTCTCTTTTTTATTGACGTAAACTATTCAATTTTTGTGTTCTCCATTCAAATTTCAGAATTTTTTTTGCAGATTTCACGCTACATTCGAAGTTACCTTTTGTAACAACCACCACTGCCTACGAAAGACGAAAGTGTGTCACGATTTCACCCGGAAATCCGACGGTTGTTTAAGAGTAAGCACTTTTGGCACCTACTCTTATTAAAATAATAAAACTCTATCTCTTTTCAAATCCTTTAATATTGATTAGTATAAAAAGAGTATCAATATAAGTGCGCATCTTGGTAATCTTTTGTACCACATTTAGCCTCTTTTACTGTTTTCTTTATAAATTCAAGTAAAATTGATATATTTGGTGTTATATTCATTAATTTGAAATTTTCTTAAATCATATAATCCGAATTTACTAATATTCAAAACAAATATTTAAAAAAAAAATATTGAGGGAATATTGAACTTTAACAAATCTCAATGACATTCAAAATCTAATAGTATTGTTCTCAGTGTTTACCAAAAATAATGCTATGTCCTGCCATTTCATTTAATATTATTGAAAAACTTTTCTAAACTATTTTGTATGATGTGAACAAGCTCACCATGAAAACACATTCACAATTGTATGTTCTATCATGTTGTAAGTTGTGATAACCAACAGATTGAGTTGTTTAAACAAATATTTATTATATACGGTTCAAATGATAAATGATATCTCATTCCTATTGTAAAAATATTATCAGTTTTAATTTTTTAAAATATTAAAGAAATTAAACAATAAAAGTGAAATTCTCAGACATACGATTATTTTTGATTCAAATGCCGTTCGGCATTAAAAGTAAAAATAATCATATGCCTGAGAATTACACTTTTCCGATATTTTTGAGTCGCTTCGCGCCCCTGACAAAACGTCGGAAAAGTGTAAATTTCTTACAAATGATTATTTTTGATTCTAAGCCGAACAGCATTTGAATCAAAAATAATCGTATGTTAGATAATTTTATTTTGATGATTGTCAAATAAAAATGTTTCATATGTGAGAAATATTCGTCACCTAATGAAACACATTCATAATTTCGAAAGATATAGACTTATTTGTGAAAATACATTAAAAAAATGTTATCTCAAAATACCATCAATAAGTTTTATTGTTATACATATAAATGGAATATATTTCATAACATTTTCATAAAAATACTCCAAAATCATCGATAAACTCGAAATTAATAAATTCAAGATCATCACATGGAAGAGGCGAATCATACATCGAATTGCAATTATCTTGAGTGGCAGCAACTACTTTATTTTCTTTTTGTGTATCTTTATTCTTTTTGTTATCCACTTGGAGGAAGAGAACAATGGATAAGTTTGCACCATGTCTCATTAGCTTCTTATATTGAGATTTTAGCGATACTTCTGTTGTTATATACGAAAACGATAAAAACAGTTTGACAGAAAAGTGACAACTTTACGTGTCAAAAATATAAAAAGTGATATTTTATTCATCATTATCTTCTTCATAATTTATTTCATATTCTTCTTCATATCCACCTTCATATTCTTCACTTTGTCCCTCCTTCTCTTTTTTACCATCTTTATTATCGATTTCTTCTTCCTCATCTTGGAGTTCTGGTATTTCTCTAGCCTGTACTGATCCTGGGAGAAAGTCTTGGGTAACTCCATCAACGACCCATTTGGCAGGCATTCCTGGTCTCCAAATGGGCCCCTTCATCCATAATTCATTTGGACTATAATTGATTTTCCTTCCATTGAGAAGACGTGTCGGTAGTGCGGCATGGGGCTTGGAGTTATAGGAATTGACCCAACTCTGAATTTTACTCCATGTTAGATTGCGGTTTTCTATATTGGGCCACAATCGCTCAATCTTACCGTTTTGGTAAGGGCAATGTGGCACAATATAGACATTTCGAATTCCTTTGCATCTCATCGCTTGTAGGAATTCACCTCTATTCTCTCCTCCATTATCAGACCATATGGTATGAGGGGGACCAAAACGTTTTATGGCCCGCTCAATTACCTTAACGGTCTGATTTGCATGTTTGGAGGAGAGATGCTGCCACTCCAAAACCATTCTGGTACAATCATCTATTACTCCATACAATAATTCACTTCTGCGTTTATTGAGAAAGTGAATGTCAACGTGCCAGATTTGATTTGGAAGTAAAGCCTCGTATCTTGTCCTCCCTTTAGGTCTCTTGGGTCCCCGTGGACGTGTTAATCCAAGAATGATAAAAGCCTTTTCGACCATATGCCTTGATGGAGCCTGAGGTAGAGGGAGAGGAAGATATTTGATATTTTGTAAATTTATAGCATATGGAGTAGGGTTATCATCTTGATTAATGTCAGCGGGGATTTCTTTAGAGATAAGATTGAGAGGCTTGTCACGTCGCACATTCTGAAACCAGTCCTGTGTTGAGCTCATAACTGGAAGCAGGCCATCTTTCATTCGAACAAAATCTTGTTCATGCTCATGGGCGAATGCTATATCTTTATTAAGCCTAAGGTAAGTGGGGATGATACCATGTCGCCCATGTTGTTCGAATAAATTGAGAATGGCCTGCATGAGATCATCAGGAACTGGTTGTTTGGGTCTACCACGGGAAAGTGGAATATCAACAAACTGGTCGTGCGGACGAGATTGAGGATTAGGAGGATTGGCACGTTGACTTGATTGATCGGAACTGATGGGATTAGGAGCAATTTGATTGTATGTACCAGATGATTGGTTTGAAGGAGTGGCTTGAGGATTTAACTGTTGTGCACTACTAAGAGGAGTATAACCATTGCTGGGTCTGAGCTGTTGTTGTGCACTACTAAGAGGAGATGTACCATTGCTGGGTCTGAGCTGTTGTTGTGCACTACTAAGAGAAGATGTACCATTGCTGGGTCTGAGCTGTTGTTGTGCACTACTAAGAGAAGATGTACCATTGCTGGGTCTGAGCTGTTGTTGTGCACTACTAAGAGAAGATGTACCATTGCTGGGTCTGAGCTGTTGTTGTGCACTACTAAGAGAAGATGTACCATTGCTGGGTCTGAGCTGTTGTTGTGCACTACTAAGAGAAGATGTACCATTGCTGGGTCTGAGCTGTTGTTGTGCACTACTAAGAGGAGATGTACCATTGCTGGGTCTGAGCTGTTGTTGTGCACTACTAAGAGGAGATGTACCATTGCTGGGTCTGAGCTGTTGTTGTGCACTACTAAGAGAAGATGTACCATTGCTGGGTCTGAGCTGTTGTTGTGCACTACTAAGAGGAGATGTACCATTGCTGGGTCTGAGCTGTTGTTGTGCACTACTAAGAGAAGATGTACCATTGCTGGGTCTGAGCTGTTGTTGTGCACTACTAAGAGGAGATGTACCATTGCTGGGTCTGAGCTGTTGTTGTGCACTACTAAGAGAAGATGTACCATTGCTGGGTCTGAGCTGTTGTTGTGCACTACTAAGAGAAGATGTACCATTGCTGGGTCTGAGCTGTTGTTGTGCACTACTAAGAGAAGATGTACCATTGCTGGGTCTGAGCTGTTGTTGTGCACTACTAAGAGAAGATTACCATTGCTGGGTCTGAGCTGTTGTTGTGCACTACTAAGAGAAGATGTACCATTGCTGGGTCTGAGCTGTTGTTGTGCACTACTAAGAGGAGATGTACCATTGCTGGGTCTGAGCTGTTGTTGTGCACTACTAAGAGGAGATGTACCATTGCTGGGTCTGAGCTGTTGTTGTGCACTACTAAGAGGAGATGTACCATTGCTGGGTCTGAGCTGTTGTTGTGCACTACTAAGAGAAGATGTACCATTGCTGGGTCTGAGCTGTTGTTGTGCACTACTAAGAGAAGATGTACCATTGCTGGGTCTGAGCTGTTGTTGTGCACTACTAAGAGGAGATGTACCATTGCTGGGTCTGAGCTGTTGTTGTGCGCTATTAAGAGGAGTAGAACCATTACTCTGTGTAATTTCTTGTTCTTCCAAGTATCGATTCAACATGATCTCATCTTTTGTTGGTAAGACTTCAATGCAATTGTAGAATTTTCCATTATGGAATATGTATAAACTTGTAAATTCTCTGGACGAGTGCTTGTAAAACTCTTCGATAATAATAAGACGAAAGCACAGAAGGCTTTTGTAGTAAGTTAACTTGTTAATGCAATTACGTGATGTACCATCGCTGAGTGGAACATTAGTCAATAGCAACGATAGCTTTTGATGTTGGTGTAACCTGGTTAGAGATTGCTCTAGCCAGTGAAAGTCTATTTGGGTATAAATATCCAAGAGAATGAATTTGAATAAATAATAAATTGTGAACAATTGAATAAAATATAGAAAATATAAATAATTTTGAAAGATATTATTGAAAAATATTTTTCACAAAAGTTGCATTCAAATTGTAAATTTTTAAAAAAAATCTTTAAAGTGAAGAAAATAAAATTGGACAATGAGAAAACAACAATGAACTAAAAATTAGTGAATAACTACAATGGCGAAATTAAAATTACGATCAGAATAATTTTTATAAAAGAATGTGTTAGAAATTAGTAACGATTAAGATAAAATAAAAATTTGGGGAACGAGAAAAGTGATTGAATATTGGTAAACATGAATTTTTATTGAAAAATAAAATGAGATTAAGATTCTAAGCAGAAATTTTAAAAAATTAGAAAAATAAAAAACAATAAAGATAATAAAAAAATTGAAACTAAAAAAAATCGAAAAATAATGATAAAATAAATGAATAGTTGAAGACAAATAAAAATAAAATGTTATCAATAAGAAAATAATTTGAATAAGTTTCAATATAGATTGATCAATTTATGAATGGGAATCCAAAATTAGAACAGCCGAATTGGTATATTGATAACAAATGATATTATGTTATTAATAAGGTATAAATGTTTTGAATGTAATTCAAATTAATTTTGAATATGAAATTGAATAAGATTGAAAAATTAAATATATAGAATTTTGAATGAGTTTCCGTTGAAATGAATGTTATGGAAATGTAGAAAATATTAGCCTTTGGATGAATTGGAGGGTGAGAGATATTATTTCATACAATACTACTCTCACCCTCCAATTCCCAGCCAAAATGGCTAAAAATTGCCCGCAATTGTTCACATTGCGGGCAATTTTTAGCCATTTTGGCTTGGAACTAGAGCCTACGAGGTACATGGATAGTATCAGTACCTCACAGGCTCTAGTTCTATATATGGCGCCGAGAAATTTTGGTGAAATGTGGTCGCATTTCACCAAAAAATTTTCGGCGCCATAGGATGAATTGGAGGGTGAGAGATATTATTTCATACAATACTACTCTCACCCTCAATTTTAATTACTTAAACTCATTCTATTTTTTTGACATGTAAATGTCACTTTTACTGAGATCTGACACAATGTCAGATCTCTTTTTTTCGTATATAAGAATACATCTCATATCTTACAACCTCTTGATGTTGGGATTTTTTCTCCCTTGAAGGCCCAATTCAAGAAGTTGTTTGATATGGCGACTATCCGGTACGATCAGCAAGGGCATATGGTGATCAATTATGTATGGAACGCCAGAGAACTGCGCTATATCATGGTTCGCAGCTTCCTTGATGCATGTAGTGTGTCTTGCACAGCTACAAACATCGAAAATGCTTTTAAAGCAACAGGAATCTATCCATTGGATATGACCTCTTGCTTCCAGATACATTGTAGCAAATGGAGTTCCTCCTGCAAGGCCCAATTTTGTCAACGACAAAGTCCTTACAGATCTAAATGTGATGATGCAAGTCTTCCAAATGGAATATGGACGCCCCATGCAGCAACAGGATTGGTATTTCAATCTGTTTGTGGCTATGCAATCTGTTTTGGCCTGGAATGGAGCATATGGCCAGGTTCTTAGTCGTGAGTTACATCTCCTTTATCCTACTGCAGGTGGATTTCAAAAAATCCAATTAAAATGATATAAAGCTGAGGAGCTCCAGGGTGAAGAGGAATTGATGAAGAAAAGAAGCAGCTGCATAATGGAGTGAGGAAGCATCTTGATCAAGAGAGGAAGTACTTTGTTGAAGAGAGGAAGCACCTTGATCAAGAGAGGAAGCACTTTGTTGAAGAGAGGAAGCTGCATCTTGAGCAAGAGAGGAAGCACTTTGATGAAGAGAGGAAGCATCTTGATCAAGAGAGGAAGTACTTTGTTGAAGAGAGGAAGCACCTTGATCAAGAGAGGAAGTACTTTGTTGAAGAGAGGAAGCTGCATTTGAGCAAGAGAGGAAGCACTTTGATGAAGAGAGGAAGCATCTTGATCAAGAGAGGAAGTACTTTGTTGAAGAGAGGAAGCATCTTGATCAAGAGAGGAAGTACTTTGAAGAAGAGAGGAAGCTGCATCTTGAGCAAGAGAGGAAGCACTTTGTTGAAGAGAGGAAGCATCTTGATCAAGAGAGGAAGTACTTTGATGAAGAGCGGAAGCACCTTGATCAAGAGAGGAAGTACTTTGTTGAAGAGAGGAAGCTGCATCTTGAGCAAGAGAGGAAGCACTTTGATGAAGAGAGGAAGCATCTTGATCAAGAGAGGAAGTACTTTGAAGAAGAGAGGAAGCACCTTGTTGAAGAGAGGAAGCATCTTGATGAAGAGAGGAAGCATCTTGATGAAGAGAGGAAGCATCTTGATCAAGAGAGGAAGTACTTTGAAGAAGAGAGGAATCACTTTGAAGAAGAGAGGAAGCACTTTGTTGAAGAGAGGAAGCTGCATCTTGAGCAAGAGAGGAAGCACTTTGATGAAGAGAGGAAGCATCTTGATCAAGAGAGGGAGCACTTTGATGAAGAGAGGAAGCATCTTGATCAAGAGAGGAAGTACTTTGAAGAAGAGAGGAAGCACTTTGTTGAAGAGAGGAAGCATCTTGATGAAGAGATGAAGCATCTTGATCAAGAGAGGAAGTACTTTGTTGAAGAGAGGAAGTACCTTGATCAAGACAGGAAGTACTTTGTTGAAGAGAGGAAGCACCTTGATCAAGAGAGGAAGTACTTTGTTGAAGAGAGGAAGTACCTTGATCAAGAGAGGAAGTACTTTGTTGAAGAGAGGAAGCACCTTGATCAAGAGAGGAAGTACTTTGTTGAAGAGAGGAAGTACTTTGAAGAAGAGAGGAAGCTGCATCTTGAGCAAGAGAGGAAGCACTTTGAAGAAGAGAGGAAGCTGCATCTTGATCAAGAGAGGAAGTACTTTGATGAAGAGAGGAAGCACCTTGATCAAGAGAGGAAGTACTTTGTTGAAGAGAGGAAGCATCTTGATCAAGAGAGGAAGTACTTTGAAGAAGAGAGGAAGCTGCATCTTGAGCAAGAGAGGAAGCACTTTGATGAAGAGAGGAAGCATCTTGAGCAAGAGAGGAAGCACTTTGATGAAGAGAGGAAGCATCTTGATCAAGAGAGGAAGTACTTTGAAGAAGAGAGGAAGCACCTTGATCAAGAGAGGAAGTACTTTGTTGAAGAGAGGAAGCTGCATCTTGAGCAAGAGAGGAAGCACTTTGATGAAGAGAGGAAGCATCTTGATCAAGAGAGGAAGTACTTTGTTGAAGAGAGGAAGCATCTTGAAGAGAGGAAGCACTTTGATGAAGAGAGGAAGCATCTTGATCAAGAGAGGAAGTACTTTGTTGAAGAGAGGAAGCATCTTGATCAAGAGAGGAAGCACTTTGATGAAGAGAGGAAGCTGCATCTTGAGCAAGAGAGGAAGCACTTTGATGAAGAGAGGAAGCACCTTGATCAAGAGAGGAAGTACTTTGTTGAAGAGAGGAAGCTGCATCTTGATGAAGAGAGGAAGCACTTTGATGAAGAGAGGAAGCATCTTGATCAAGAGAGGAAGTACTTTGATGAAGAGAGGAAGCATCTTGATCAAGAGAGGAAGTACTTTGAAGAAGAGAGGAAGCATCTTGAGAAGAGAGGAAGCACTTTGATGAAGAGAGGAAGCATCTTGAGCAAGAGAGGAAGCACTTTGAAGAAGAGAGGAAGCATCTTGATCAAGAGAGGAAGTACTTTGATGAAGAGAGGAAGCACTTGATCAAGAGAGGAAGTACTTTGTTGAAGAGAGGAAGCCATCTTGAGAAGAGAGGAAGCACTTTGATGAAGAGAGGAAGCATCTTGATCAAGAGAGGAAGTACTTTGAAGAAGAGAGGAAGCACTTTGTTGAAGAGAGGAAGCACTTGATCAAGAGAGGAAGTACTTTGAAGAAGAGAGGAAGCATCTTGAGAAGAGAGGAAGCACTTTGATGAAGAGAGGAAGCATCTTGATCAAGAGAGGAAGTACTTTGAAGAAGAGAGGAAGCACCTTGATCAAGAGAGGAAGTACTTTGTTGAAGAGAGGAAGCACTTTGATGAAGAGAGGAAGCATCTTGATCAAGAGAGGAAGTACTTTGAAGAAGAGAGGGAGCACTTTCTTGAAGAGAGGAAGCACCTTGATCAAGAGAGGAAGTACTTTGAAGAAGAGAGGAAGCTGCATCTTGAGCAAGAGAGGAAGCACTTTGATGAAGAGAGGAAGCACCTTGATCAAGAGAGGAAGTACTTTGAAGAAGAGAGGAAGCATCTTGATCAAGAGAGGAAGTACTTTGAAGAAGAGATGAATCACTTTGATGAAGAGAGGAAGCACTTTGTTGAAGAGAGGAAGCATCTTGATGAAGAGAGGAAGCATCTTGATCAAGAGAGGAAGCATCTTGTTGAAGAGAGGAAGCACCTTGATCAAGAGAGGAAGTACTTTGAAGAAGAGAGGAATCACTTTGATGAAGAGAGGAAGCACCTTGATCAAGAGAGGAAGTACTTTGTTGAAGAGAGGAAGCTGCATCCTGAGCAAGAGAGTAAGCACTTTGTTGAAGAGAGGAAGCTGCATCTTGATCAAGAGAGGAAGTACTTTGTTGAAGAGAGGAAGCATCTTGATAAAGAGAGGAAGTACTTTGTTGAAGAGAGGAAGCTGCATCTTGAGCAAGAGAGGAAGCACTTTGTTGAAGAGAGGAAGCTGCATCTTGAGCAAGAGAGGAAGCACTTTGTTGAAGAGAGGAAGCATCTTGATCAAGAGAGGAAGCACTTTGATGAAGAGAGGAAGCATCTTGATCAAGAGAGGAAGTACTTTGTTGAAGAGAGGAAGCTGCATCTTGAGCAAGAGAGGAAGCACTTTGATGAAGAGAGGAAGCTGCATCTTGATCAAGAGAGGAAGTACTTTGATGAAGAGAGGAAGCACCTTGATCAAGAGAGGAAGTACTTTGTTGAAGAGAGGAAGCTGCATCTTGAGCAAGAGAGGAAGCACTTTGATGAAGAGAGGAAGCATCTTGATCAAGAGAGGAAGTACTTTGAAGAAGAGAGGGAGCACTTTGTTGAAGAGAGGAAGCATCTTGATGAAGAGAGGAAGCATCTTGATCAAGAGAGGAAGTACTTTGAAGAAGAGAGGAAGCATCTTGATGAAGAGAGGAAGCACCTTGATCAAGAGAGGAAGTACTTTGTTGAAGAGAGGAAGCTGCATCCTGAGCAAGAGAGTAAGCACTTTGTTGAAGAGAGGAAGCTGCATCTTGATCAAGAGAGGAAGTACTTTGAAGAAGAGAGGAAGCACTTTGTTGAAGAGAGGAAGCATCTTGATGAAGAGAGGAAGCATCTTGATCAAGAGAGGAAGTACTTTGAAGAAGAGATGAATCACTTTGATGAAGAGAGGAAGCACTTTGATGAAGAGAGGAAGCATCTTGATCAAGAGAGGAAGTACTTTGTTGAAGAGAGGAAGCACCTTGATCAAGAGAGGAAGTACTTTGTTGAAGAGAGGAAGCTGCATCTTGAGCAAGAGAGGAAGCACTTTGATGAAGAGAGGAAGCATCTTGATCAAGAGAGGAAGTACTTTGAAGAAGAGAGGAAGCACCTTGTTGAAGAGAGGAAGCACTTTGATCAAGAGAGGAAGCACCTTGATCAAGAGAGGAAGTACTTTGTTGAAGAGAGGAAGCTGCATCTTGAGCAAGAGAGGAAGCACTTTGATGAAGAGAGGAAGCATCTTGATCAAGAGAGGAAGTACTTTGAAGAAGAGAGGAAGCACTTTGTTGAAGAGAGGAAGCACCTTGATCAAGAGAGGAAGCACTTGATCAAGAGAGGAAGTACTTTGTTGAAGAGAGGAAGCATCTTGAGAAGAGAGGAAGCACTTTGATGAAGAGAGGAAGCATCTTGATCAAGAGAGGAAGTACTTTGATGAAGAGAGGAAGCATCTTGATCAAGAGAGGAAGCATCTTGATGAAGAGAGGAAGTCTTGTTGAAGAGAGGAAGCACTTTATGAAGAGAGGAAGCATCTTGATGAAGAGAGGAAGCATCTTGATCAAGAGAGGAAGCATCTTGATGAAGAGAGGAATCACTTTGATGAAGAGAGGAAGCACTTTGTTGAAGAGAGGAAGCACTTTGTTGAAGAGAGGAAGCACTTTGTTGAAGAGAGGAAGCTGCATCTTGATCAAGAGAGGAAGTACTTTGAAGAAGAGAGGAAGCACTTTGTTGAAGAGAGGAAGCATCTTGATGAAGAGAGGAAGCATCTTGATCAAGAGAGGAAGTACTTTGAAGAAGAGATGAATCACTTTGATGAAGAGAGGAAGCACTTTGATGAAGAGAGGAAGCATCTTGATCAAGAGAGGAAGTACTTTGTTGAAGAGAGGAAGCACCTTGATCAAGAGAGGAAGTACTTTGTTGAAGAGAGGAAGCTGCATCTTGAGCAAGAGAGGAAGCACTTTGATGAAGAGAGGAAGCATCTTGATCAAGAGAGGAAGTACTTTGAAGAAGAGAGGAAGCACTTTGTTGAAGAGAGGAAGCACTTTGATCAAGAGAGGAAGCACCTTGATCAAGAGAGGAAGTACTTTGTTGAAGAGAGGAAGCTGCATCTTGAGCAAGAGAGGAAGCACTTTGATGAAGAGAGGAAGCATCTTGATCAAGAGAGGAAGTACTTTGAAGAAGAGAGGAAGCACTTTGTTGAAGAGAGGAAGCACCTTGATCAAGAGAGGAAGCACCTTGATCAAGAGAGGAAGTACTTTGTTGAAGAGAGGAAGCTGCATCTTGAGCAAGAGAGGAAGCACTTTGATGAAGAGAGGAAGCATCTTGATCAAGAGAGGAAGTACTTTGATGAAGAGAGGAAGCATCTTGATCAAGAGAGGAAGCATCTTGATGAAGAGAGGAAGTACTTTGTTGAAGAGAGGAAGCACTTTATTGAAGAGAGGAAGCATCTTGATGAAGAGAGGAAGCATCTTGATCAAGAGAGGAAGCATCTTGATGAAGAGAGGAATCACTTTGATGAAGAGAGGAAGCACTTTGTTGAAGAGAGGAAGCACTTTGTTGAAGAGAGGAAGCATCTTGATCAAGAGAGGAAGTACTTTGTTGAAGAGAGGAAGCTGCATCTTGATCAAGAGAGGAAGCACCTTGATCAAGAGAGGAAGCATCTTGATGAAGAGAGGAAGCATTTTGATCAAGAGAGGAAGTACTTTGTCGAAGAGAGGAATCACTTTGATGAAGAGAGGAAGCACCTTGATCAAGAGAGGAAGTACTTTGTTGAAGAGAGGAAGCTGCATCCTGAGCAAGAGAGTAAGCACTTTGTTGAAGAGAGGAAGCTGCATCTTGATCAAGAGAGGAAGTACTTTGAAGAAGAGAGGAAGCACTTTGTTGAAGAGAGGAAGCATCTTGATGAAGAGAGGAAGCATCTTGATCAAGAGAGGAAGCATCTTGATCAAGAGAGGAAGCATCTTGATCAAGAGAGGAAGTACTTTGAAGAAGAGAGGAAGCATCTTGATGAAGAGAGGAAGCATCTTGATCAAGAGAGGAAGTACTTTGTTGAAGAGAGGAAGCTGCATCTTGAGCAAGAGAGGAAGCACTTTGATGAAGAGAGGAAGCATCTTGATCAAGAGAGGAAGTACTTTGAAGAAGAGAGGAAGCATCTTGATAAAGAGAGGAAGTACTTTGTTGAAGAGAGGAAGCTGCATCTTGAGCAAGAGAGGAAGCACTTTGTTGAAGAGAGGAAGCTGCATCTTGAGCAAGAGAGGAAGCACTTTGATGAAGAGAGGAAGCATCTTGATCAAGAGAGGAAGTACTTTGATGAAGAGAGGAAGCATCTTGATCAAGAGAGGAAGCACCTTGATCAAGAGAGGAAGCATCTTGATGAAGAGAGGAAGCACTTTGTTGAAGAGAGGAAGCTGCATCCTGGGCAAGAGAGGAAGCACTTTGATGAAGAGAGGAAGCATCTTGATCAAGAGAGGAAGTACTTTGAAGAAGAGAGGAAGCACTTTGTTGAAGAGAGGAAGCACTTTGATCAAGAGAGGAAGCACCTTGATCAAGAGAGGAAGTACTTTGTTGAAGAGAGGAAACTGCATCTTGAGCAAGAGAGGAAGCACTTTGATGAAGAGAGGAAGCATCTTGATCAAGAGAGGAAGTACTTTGAAGAAGAGAGGAAGCACTTTGTTGAAGAGAGGAAGCACTTTGATCAAGAGAGGAAGCACCTTGATCAAGAGAGGAAGTACTTTGTTGAAGAGAGGAAGCTGCATCTTGAGCAAGAGAGGAAGCACTTTGATGAAGAGAGGAAGCATCTTGATCAAGAGAGGAAGCATCTTGATGAAGAGAGGAAGTACTTTGTTGAAGAGAGGAAGCACTTTGTTGAAGAGAGGAAGCATCTTGATGAAGAGAGGAAGCATCTTGATGAAGAGAGGAAGCATCTTGATCAAGAGAGGAATCACTTTGATGAAGAGAGGAAGCACTTTGTTGAAGAGAGGAAGCACTTTGATGAAGAGAGGAAGCATCTTGATCAAGAGAGGAAGTACTTTGTTGAAGAGAGGAAGCACCTTGATCAAGAGAGGAAGTACTTTGATGAAGAGAGGAAGCATCTTGATGAAGAGAGGAAGCATCTTGATCAAGAGAGGAAGCATCTTGATCAAGAGAGGAAGCACCTTGATCAAGAGAGGAAGCATCTTGATGAAGAGAGGAAGCATCTTGATCAAGAGAGGAAGTACTTTGAAGAAGAGAGGAAGTACTTTGTTGAAGAGAGGAAGCACCTTGATCAAGAGAGGAAGTACTTTGTTGAAGAGAGGAAGCTGCATCTTGAGCAAGAGAGGAAGCACTTTGATGAAGAGAGGAAGCATCTTGATCAAGAGAGGAAGTACTTTGAAGAAGAGAGGAAGCACTTTGTTGAAGAGAGGAAGCACCTTGATCAAGAGAGGAAGCATCTTGATCAAGAGAGGAAAGTTAGTATACCTAAGTCGTGTACTGAGGCACTGCGCGCCTCCGTACACCACTTAGCGGTTTTGACACTTTACAAAGTCGTTAACGTATATTTTACAACACAAACGACAACACAAACGACAACACAAACGACAACACTAACTTAACCTTAAATATTTACAAAGCCACCAACCACTTCACCTCACTAATGTTTTCACAAACGACTTCACTAATGTTTTCACAAACGACTTCACTAATGTAAAAATAAACGTTCTCACTTACAAAAGTATTGCAACTCCTCCCATTGCTGTGCTTCACATAACAGCTCATAATCTTCTGACTCACTTTCTTCTTCATATATGTCAAAGTCACTGTCAAAATGAATGTTAGTAAGTTTTGACAAAGCTAATGAAACACGTTTACCGTTTGTATCGTATGCTTGTATAAACTTTCCATTCTTCATTCCTTCATAAACGCTCAAACTAACTTTACCCTTTCTCCCTCGTATCTGATAGAATGTATTTTCACGAGGAACGAAGAACAAATTCTTGAACTCATGACCGTTGTAGTTTGTTATCTCAATAGTTTTCGTCATTTATATAAAATAAAATAAAAAATAATTTTAAAAAATAAACTTAAAAATAAATGATATCACCACCCTCACACGTATGAAAACATCCATTTAAATTTAGGTGAAGTGGTGAGATCTCACCTCTTTTTTCACCCTGTTGAATTCATTGCTTTATAACTCTCTTCCTTTCTCCAACTCTTCTAACTTCTTCTTAAGTTCAGCAATGTTGTCCTCATGAAGTTTAATCTTTCTCAAAATTCCTTCTTTATCTAATGGTTGCTTTATCTTTCTAAACTGAACTCTACCATCCTTCATAGTATGAATGTAAAAACCTTCTGGAATAGTTCCTGATTTAATGTATTCTACCAAAAACTTTTGTTTCATTGCTTCAGTGACTTTAGTCGTCATTTCAATCAAATAAAAATTTTAATATTAAATAAAAATAACGTTATTTTTTCAGTAAGGAAACGCAGGAGTTTTACGATTTATTTGAGGAGTAGGTTCTGGTTTAAATGTTGGAGTCGGTTTAGGAGTTGACTTTTGAACAGGAGTTTGTACTTCCATAGGTTCAGGAGTCATTGAAGGTTTTGCTTGTGAAGGTGTTGGAGTTTGTTTAACTTCAGCTACTTCAGTATTATTTACAACATTTGCTTTATTTCTTTTCAACATCATAACTGCTACTGCTGTAGCTAGCAAACCTAGTGGGAGACCATATTTTATATAAGGACTTGACCAAATGCTATTTTTGACAGGAGCTGGTGGAACACCTAACCTTGGTGAGACTGCTCTTTCCATTGTGCAGCTCGTAAGAAATATTCAATAGGTGCTCCATAATCGTTTGGTAAAGTTTGTTTCATAGATGGTGAAGGTTCACGAGAGCTTGATGAAGAACTCATTTATAAGCTTTAAAAATAAACGTTCATCCTTTATTCCTCACTGTCGTCAGTTGCTAAGTTATAGTCGTCAAGTCTTATTATTGGGATTCCATTAGCACGCACCTGAATGGCAAAGCAACAATCCCTCATAAATCCAATAAGTGGCTTTGGTACGTTTTCAGTTGCTAGTTCAATAGGTCCTTTAACAGACAATTTGTATGTTATTGGAGCAGTAGATGTTTGACCTTGTGGAAGCAAAAGTCCACTTTCTGTTGGAAAACCACATAAGAAATGTGTGTTGTCATAGCTATCCCATTATGTTCCACACTACCATCATCCACCAATGACCTCATAACATCTTCATTAAATCCTATCATATCATTGTTTGTATTGCAAGCGTTCGCAACCATTTCATAAAATACAGGTCCATATGATTTTTCAGGTTCTGCAGGCATATTTCCATAAGCTCCCATGGAAAGCTGAAGATATTTAAACTTAGGGTTCTCAAAATTAACATAATAGTTGTCTTTCTTTCTAAATAGTGCCCAAATACTTTTAACATTAATAGGCGTATAAGCTGCTGTAAATGTTGCACTTGAACTATCTGTATTCTTTGAGAATGAACCGTCCATAGGAATCCAATCCATAACTTTAACAGGAAAACATAAAGCCTCGTTTGTATAATGTTCTACAAGTTCTGTATAAATGTTAGGGTCTAAAGAGAATGACTTTTGGATGAATGAAACATTCATTAAAATCCATCTTTGTTCGAAATAGTTGCTGGTTTACAGTTGTAATAGTAACTGTTCCACTAGCTTCTACTGCCTTCGTTATCATAGTGAATGGTTCATTCCATGGAACAAATTTATTTGTCGGTGGATTTGAATCTGAAGCAAATGCAACTTTAAGAGTTGGATTGAAAGCAATGATATCATTTACAGATATAGATGTGCATTGTAAGGCGTCGCTACTGAACTTTACTTTAAGCTGAATGTTTCCTGCAAAAGCTGGAATAAATCGAATAGCTTCTAATGGAAGGAATCTTCTAACAGGAATTCTTAAACGAAGCTTAAAATCAAATGATTTTCCTGCTGTAATTGGACCACTAACAATTTGTCCTGTTCTGTATGTTCCCGAATGACTCCATACATCTTCATGTCGAGTCTTTGAGAAAACATCTACTTTCTTTATTTGTTCGGTAGTTTGTGAGTTTGAAGTTATATATGCTTCTTCTCTTGCGTTGTCTTGAGAATATACGATACGACCATTTGCAAGGATTTGATATCCAGCAACTGCATAGAAAGCGTCATCGAAACCAATCCAAATCCTGGTGGGTTTTTTTATTGGAACCTGAACCAATTTCTTTATCTACAATAAATTGACCTTCCATTTTATACGTAATGAATGTATTGTAAAGGTCCAACATATTTTCACCAGGAGGTGAGAGATTGAATGTTACCCATGTGTTATCTTTAGCAGTTCCAGGTTTGTGATGGAATCTTTGCGTCAGAATATTTTCTATTAGTGTCACCAATTTGAACTGCATTGTCTATGATATCGAAATATGAGCGAATCTGATGAATATGCTCTGCTGGAGTAAATTCGTTTAACTGTTCGTTCTGCATGTATTTACTTCGGATAAAAATATCTATTTACTTCATTATTCTCACTCTTCTTCTTGGCATTCGTGGTGGAAGTTGTTTCTTGACATTTTCAATGAACTGTAACATTCTCTTTTGTCTCAACTTCTTTCACTGGTGGGTCAGGGTTCTTTGACTCGGTTGTTTTTCAATGAAATTCACGAACTTTGCAATAAGCTCTTGGTTCGTTATTGAAAGTACATCTGGCTTCTTTTCTTCTGGTTCTATTGACTTTTCAGTTTGAACAGAAGGTTTTATATGGGCTTCGTGGACTTCACCCTTGCCATACACCTTAATGTTGTCGCTTTCTGCATTCGCTAATGGAACCTTTCTTTTTCTTACGTATATTTTACCATCTTTACTCTGACTTACGTAATAGAAAGGATGTTGTATTCCTCTTGCGTCATTTAATATAATAGACTCTCGCTCTGATTTTGACAAGCTCATTTTACATCGGTTAAAGTTTTAATTTTGTTTTTTATCTGCAGTCAAATGACTCAGACAAGCCCTACGGACAAGACCCAAGGGGTCATAGATGTTGAAGCATTGAAGAAAGAAATTCGTGAGCAAATTTTATCCGAACTGAAGGAACAAAAACAAGAACAAAAGCCAGAGAGACCAAAGAGAAAACTTAGTGAAAAACAACTTGCTGCATTAGCTGCTGGAAGACAAAAGAACCCAAGACTACTGGCGAAGAAAGCTAGAGAAGAAGCTGAAGCAAAAGCTAAAGAAGCTGAAGCAAAGAAAGAGTAAATGGTTTATTTTTATCCGAATTAAATGTATAGACAAATACCTTTATCTGTTGCGTTCAGTAGTGAAAACCCTGACGTCAAAATAAAGGGGAACAGAGTAACGTTTAAGTTTCCAACAGACTGGATTGTGAACATAAATGAAGAAAAATATATTGGCATAACAAATATGTATATAACACGTGCATTTAGGAAAGTTGACTTTATACTTCAAGTCGAGATAGAAAATGACGAACAGTCTTTAAGCGCCCAAAACATTCACATATACAAATACTTTAAAGACGATACAACATTGTTGCAATGTATGATTTCATTTAATGAGATGTTCGAGAAAAAGTTTAACATTGAAGTACAAACTTTACAGCCTTTACGTGAGTTTCTTGCACAACTGAAAGAAGAAGGTAGTCAGCCACAACTTATAGACTTTCATTATGAATTTAATGAAAATGAAGATGGAACACATGACTGTCAGTTTGTTGTATTCTCACCATTCAATGAAGTCGCTAAAGAGAAAGAAAATCCATTACGTATAAGATTTCAAATCTCTGAACCAAGTGATGATTTCAAGAATGTTTTCAATTATGATGCAATGCTTCCGAGGAAAAATGAATTTTCAAAGATTGTAACACCTGGCATTTGGGATAGAAAGCAAGCTATTCTTTTCTCTAATATAGCCAAAGGCGTTGAAAATGAGTTCATTGGTCATACAAGAACTTCACCACTTCCTAACCCTAAATACTATAAATTAACTGGCTTCAATCGTGAGTTTTGGATAGACATGTTCTCCACTCATGACCATAAAGCACCTGTTTTGCTACCTCCAGACCATAAGGACTGTCTCTACATTGAAGCACAACTCTTAAACTCTACCATCGCAGTATTGTAAAATCTACGCTAGTTTTATTTTTATCACGAATGACCTCATTCATGACCTCATTGCTGACAAAAATAAATGACCTCATTCATGACCTCATTCATGACCTTATTCATGACCTCATTCATGACCTCATTCATGACCTCATTGCTGACAAAAATAAATGACCTCAGAACTTCAACTTACGAATAAAGCTTGTTTTAGTCGTTATTGAGAAGTTAAACTTTTCAGCAAAGCAAGGACTAGAAGACTTACATAAGTCAAATCCAATCTCTTGACCATCATGAAGTGCTTTG